TGTCCATGTGCTAAAAAGGACTTGAACCTGGACTCCATTTTGCCAGGCCAAAACCTGACAACTAGGTTTAAGCAGCTTCAAGGAGGGCTATTGTACAATCTACTCAGATGTTTCCAGATCATATCATCCATCTTTATCCTATCCTACTTGTACTAGCAATAGCAATAACACTTAGACTTATACACAGCTCTATAATGCTTTACATCACTCTCTGAGCAGTTTACAAATGGCAGCATATTGCCCCCAACAATCTGGGACCTTATTTTACCGACCTTGGAAGCATGGAAAGCTAAATCAACCTTGAGTCAGTCAGGATCAAACTCCTGGTTGTGGGTAGACTTAGCCTGCAACACTGCATTCTAACCATGTGCCACCACAACTCAGTGTTCAGTATTGTTCAAGACACTTCTTATACTGGTTCAGTTTCTGCTCATTAAAACAAGTCTCTATTTCTTCATCTCTCCTACCAAATACCCAGACACAGGGCTGATGATAAATGGAAGACAATGTTAGCTGAATTCTGCATAAAGGTCTATAAAGGTATATGCCGGCGTATTAGCCGACCCGACGTATAAGACGACCCCCGTCTTTATAGCCGGGCCACATTCCTAGAACGTCGTCTTATACGCCGGAAACTACCTGTATTTCCGGCGTATAAGACGACCCCCGTCTTTGGCGCCGATTTCAGTGCTCGCGGAAGTCGTCTTATACGCCGGCATTTACGGTAAGAAAAACTCCTGTGGAATAATATGCCCTATGTAATATATTCTCTGTTATAATAGTTTTATTTTTCTGTATTTATTTTGTTGCACACTGCCTAGAGATGTTTGATGAGGTGGCAAAAATATAGAAAGTAAGTAAAGTAATATAGAAGAACAATTCAGTAGCAGAAAACCTAATGATCCGCACCAACCAAGCATTTCAGGCGTAAAATGTATCCCTATTTCAGTTTTCATAATAGCAGCTGATGAACTGGAAGATGTCTGCTAGAAAGTATTCTAGCAAAGAGGCATGAAAATATTAATTTTATTTGCTGGCGTATAAATATATATTAGGACTTAAGTCTTACTGGGAATGTAGATTACCATACACACAACCCTAAGGGTTTGAAATGACAGGTGACTTTCAGAAGAAGGGCTTTGTTCATTAGCATCATTTCAACTATTGCTTCAGTAGGGCTCTACAAACTGCTAAAAATGATTCTAGGAGCAAAACACAGGATTGTGTATCAATGTTACGTAAAGCATAAGACTGATGAAGAGATGTACTGAGTAGCATGAAATTTATGTTTAGATACGTTAGAGATAGTGAGGACGGTTCACTGTTGGTATGCAAAAAAGAGCAGTATGAAGAGAATTAGTCCCACTATAATGCAGTCACGACATAAGCCTAAGACTGAAAATCAGGCTTGTCAGATGCTATATTTTTCCTATCCTGCTCTATGGAGTAGAGAGTTGGTCTCTGACAGAAGGCCACCTGAAGAGACTAGAAGCATTTGAAATGTGGATTTACAGGCGGCTGTTACGTATAAGCTAGGTTGACAAGATCAGAAATGAGGAGGTGATAAGCCGCCTGGGAAAGCCAAGGGAAATCATCAAAACAATTAAAAAACAAAAATTAGAGTATTTCGGACATGTGATGCGACAGAAAAATACGGCATACTCCATTTAATCCTCCAGGGAAAGATTGAAGGCAAATGAGGTCCAGGCAGAAGAAGAACATCATGGCTTCAAAATCTAAGGGACTGGTTTGGACAAAACTCAGCAGCACTTTTTTGTGCGGCTGCTGATAAAAACAGGATCGGCAACATGATCGCCAACTTCCGATAACAGATATGGCACAAGAAGAAGAAGATAATGCTAGGTCTTCTGGAGTAAAAAACAAATTGTTTACTCCTGACCCCTTCAAATAAAAGAATGCAGGTTATTTCACTTTTTTCCCCCCCACAATACCAATACAACAGATGCAGTCAGGGCTCAATCATTGATCTGGGATTAAAATATCTCCTTATACACTCTCTGTATATTGACATCAACTAGATGTTTATCCTTTTTCTCTCTGTGCTATCTTTCTTCCTTAACTAAAAATAGTATGCACAATTGTCTCAGTTCACAACTTGGCAGAAATAGCACTATGAAGGCTGACTATTAAATGAAGCTAAGACATTTTTAAGAATTCTTCTACATGCTTCTCCAACTAGCACTCTCTGTCTGTGAGTGGAGCCACAGCTTTCAAAACTGCCAACTAAGGGCCAGCCTGTCTGCTGCAGTCCAAGTTAAATTCTGAACATTTCCACTTTGGGACTGCAGATATAAGTCATATTTTAAAGTTCTGTGCTACACAATAATACTGTTCTAGAATATAGATAGTCCTCAACTTACAACAGTTTGTTTAGTGACTGTTCAAAGTTACAATGACACTAGAAAAAGTGATCTGTGACTATTTTTCACACGACTGTTGCAGCATCTCCATGATCACTTGGTCAAAATTCAGACCATTGGTAACTGATTCATATTTGTGACAGTGGCAGTGTCCTGGAGTCATGTGATCACCTTTTGTGACTTTCTGACAAGCAAAGTCAATGGGGGAAGCCAGATTCACTTAACAACCGTGTTGCTAACTTAACAGCTGCAGTGATTCACTTAACTGTCTCGCTTAGCAACAGAAATTTGGGACTCAGTTGTAGTCATAAGTCTAGAACTAATCTGTACCACATCAAGAAATAAAACATATAAAATTATGGAATATTTCATTGGTATAAGCTGAAGGAAAGGGCAAAGCAAATGTTTGTGTGCATCTGTGAAAAAGTCAATATACAGAAGAACTCTATTCAGCCCTTTCTGTTTAAGAGCATTTGTTCAACTTAGGAGAAAAACCCTTTCAAAACCAGCTATGGGATACTCTACCCTGGTGAGTCACTAGATGGAGCCATCTATATTAGCTCTTATTCTTGTGAAATCTGAATGCCTCTTTGCATTCTTGGATCTAAATTCTTTTCAGTCAAAGAGGGCATTATTCAGACCTTATGACATTATTCCTTGCCACACAACTTGTTTCCACATTTTATGGATCATCACTATCAACACCGCCACAGGGCAATATATTTAATTGTATGCCCTTAACAAACAATAAAATGCTGATGCCAAGCCTGATTTCCTTAAAAAGGAATGTTGCTTCAGGGAACAGTCCTCTACTTTTTTGTGGATGAAAATATTACTTCTGTTTCATTTGTTACATGGGGAAGGCTTTCATCCCTCCATACAGATAAATGCAGGCTGATGGTAGAGGGTGCATTATTTCAAATATTTCAATTCCAAGCCACTTAGAGCTCTAGAAATAAGCATCATACTTTGAAATGGCCTTTATGCTGAACTGGCAGCCAATGAAATTCTTTCAGAACTGATAAAACAGGACTCCAAACTATATTAGGCTAGCTAATTTCCTATATTTGATACACTTCTGAAGCCATTTTTAAGACATCTTGCAAAATACGCATTACAGTAATCTAATTTAGAGATTTTTCCAGGAAATACTGATGTTGACAATCTAATAACACTGATATCATTAGAAATTCTAGTCATAATAATGGAATCAAGGAGTAACCAACCTGTACAACTGTTCCTTTAGAGTGCAATGCCACCCAGAACAGATAGCAGACCAACTTCTTGAAAACAGTTATTGCCAATAACACAATGCTTTCATTGTTACAAAATAATAGAGATGGGAAGGGACCTTGGAGGTCTTCTAGTCCATCCTGTGCTAAGTATGTAATCCTCATATAATTCTGAACCAATGGCTACCCAGTCTTTTCTTGAACATCTTCAGTGATGGAGCATCCACAACTTCACGCAGCTTAATAGCTCTAACATTCATGAAATTCCTCCTTAGTTCAGGTTTAGATCTCTTACTATAAAGTTTCTACTCACTGGTTTTTGTCTTACCCTTAATTTTAGCGAAAATAAATCCGCTCTTTGTAACATGTGTCAGAAGACTGTTATGTTGTCTCCCATTGGACTTCTTTTCTTGAGCTAAACATATCAAGTTCCTTTCACTGTTCATCACAGGATTTAACCTTCGTAAACTTTACCATCTTGTTTCACTTCTCTGCACTCTTATAGGTACTTTCATCCTAGTTTGAGTACATTAATCCCTAACACCATCAGAATGTAGGGAACAGGCAGATGAATACAGATTCTGCCGTGCAAGTATGATGTCAAACAAAACTATGTATAGTACAAACGGTAATATTTCAGTTATCACTTCCAATACTTAATTTGTGCTCCAGTATATCCACACATAGGATATACAATATTTTGTGGCAATGAGAAGGCAACCATGTTATTCCCTTCTTCTACTTTTTCTGTTGCATGACTCAGCCTAATAGGATGGCTGCACCTCTGAAACAATGCCCTCTGATGAGACCTAGTAAGTATGGCTTTTCTATGGTGGAACCTTCAGAAAGGTGTAAAAATCTGACTTTTTTCTTGGGCTTCAGGCCTGGGATGAATGGAAGGATATGAATAGAGTGGTATGAAAGCAATTTTCTGGTTCACCTATTGATGTTTTGGATTTAACTGAACTTGCTTATTTTGTTTATTTTGATTTATCTGTTCTACTTCACCCAATTTGCAATGTATTCAACACATTTTGTAAGTAAATAAGTAAATCAGCATTCCATTGATTTTACTCCTAGAGCAGTACTGTAATGTCAGATTTTTTTTTTCTCATGACTGCAGCCAGGGAGATTAGATTAATTTTCCATGCTTTCTGCTATTCGAATAATAAACAACTCTCTGTCCCCCCATTTTGTGATTTTATTTAAAATTTTAGAAACTTGCATATTGATATAGCACACATTGAACCATATCAGGCTGAATTTGGCCCTTCAAGTTTGTGGAAACCAGAGTTTTTTTAATACTTGCAGCCTATACAGACTGTTGCTTTTTTTAACAGAAAATACTGTTTAGAAACAATACACAGGCAATGTTCATAATGTTTACCTTGAGGGCTTTCTGTGCAACTTCACTTGAACCAATAGCAATGAGGTTTGGTCCAGCCATGCTGCAAAAACTTTTCAAATGCAAGGAGTCAGCAACAGGGACTGTAGAGACAGCATAATCCTGTATATAAATGAGGTATTTGCAAAAGAATTGTTTAGATTAATTGCATTATAAATTAAGCCAATTACATAAGTAGTCCTTGATTTACAACCATTCAGTGGCCATGCAAAATTACAACAGCGCTGAAAAAAATGACCTGAGACTGATCCTTGCATGACCATCACATCACCCCCATGATCATGTGATCAAAATGGCTTATGGTCATGGGTGTTAATAGGTTTAATACATCCCAGTTGATTAAAATAAATTATATGGTGGTCTTGTGTTGGCAAGAAATCATCCCAGTCAGGAGGCAAACTCAAGTGGGGAACTGTACAAATTCCCATACCTTGCACCCATATTTCTATCCCCAGAAAGAACATCTCTAAATCTGCTAACCTTAAAGGTATCTGCCAGAATTTCTGCACCACGATGGTTGGTCCGCTTTGAAAGACCCACAAAAAATTCCCGACCTTAAAAGCAGAAAAGATACATTTAGCTTTAAACCAGCATGGACTAGAAGATTCAAAAATTATCAAAAGTCTGTTATAATGGGGCTATTGCAAACATTCTTTCGTTATCCTTTTTCACTACCACTTTCCTAATCAGGCTATGATTTTACTTACACTTTCCTGTTCAGGCTATAAACTTTACACTTTTTAAACATTTTACATTTTATTATTTTGTCTTTTCCCTGCTTGTAATAAACTATATAAGACCATTAAGAGCTAAATGTTACCAATATTGTACAAAGAAAACTATCTGTAATTTACAATATATGTTGCAACTAAGAAGGTCAATGTCAGAGGAAATCTTTTTTTTATCTTTCATAATACATAACACGTAACACATGACATAATACCAATAATGTTTATTGTATTTGTTCTCTTTCACTTGCTATTATACAAGGCTGAATTTTATCTTAGAAAAAGATTTACTATATCGAAAGTCAAATATCAATGATAGGAATGCAAATTTTCTAATTTAATGTTGTGTTTGGAGAATTTTCACATACTGTAGTAAGTCAATATGCTGTAATCAACCCATCTGCGGAATTCAAATATTAAAAAGATTTTTAACCTTACTATACCTGTAAATAAAACATCTCCTCCATCTAAGGTTGCTTGATCATCTGTCATCTCTACAATATTCAGACTAAGACTGTTAAGTGCTGTCTTCATTGCTTCAACCTGTTTGAAAAATTGGAACAAAATTTAAAATCTATTTTAGTGATGCCAACTTAAAATATCTGCACATTTCTGGACTTCATATCTACTTAACTGAACCAGATTTCTTTTAATAAGTCAGCTTTATTAAACTTTAAAATGTATAATGACTTTGTCTGACTTAGAATGCTATCCTGAAGAATAATGATCATAGCATATTTTGATGACAATAATTTCCCTGCATTTCTGCTATATACGGCTTGACAATTTAAATCTCTGGAGAAAATGTAAAACATATCCAGTACAATTTCTCTGATATCCACATTAAAGTACTGCAGGTATTTTGATTCAGTTATACATTTGCCCCAGTTTTCAATAGAATATTTCTATGCCAAGTCATCTTTGAACTTGCTGTTAAAAAAATGTCAACTATGTTAATGTATGGAGACATAAAAAAGAGCAGTGCATGTAATAAGTAACTAATTATTCCAAGCTGCACACTTATCAATAAATACAGAACTGCTTGGCTATAATTTTTGTATCAAGTCTAGCAAATTATTTCTTGAACTACAATTAGATATTTAATATGGTCAATCTTAGATGCTTTGGTGTGACATGTTACAACAGTAAAACAATATTTGTTACTTGACAAAGAATAAATGGTTTTCAACTGTGCCATATTCTTCAGTGATCATGGATGTGTATTGCAGCTATAATTACGCACTATAGATTTCTACCACGGTTTGTACAAATTGAAAGATAATGTGATAAGTGGTATCCAGATTCTGTGTTTTTGATTGGATTCTATTCACACTGGATTACATTCAGCATACTAAACTCACAATCTTAGAAATAGTCATCAGACTAATATAAGATGGATGAAAGCAAAATTAGAGACACATTTTTGGAAATATCAACACTTATGCTGGTACATAGACTGCAATGTCTTCTGCAAGGCTGAGAACAAACTGGTTTATTCTCTCAATACTGAAAAAAGCTGAGACAAGAAATAAGAAGATAAATGGCATTTTTTTAAAAAAAAAGAATTTCATAATGCTGTTAAAATTCAAATATGGAGCCATTTTTAATATAAATTAATGCTGTTTATAACTATGATATTATATTAACTAAGTAAATGGGGTAAAAAGGATTAAATTTATATTAAAAACGATCAAATTATCAGTCTGAGGTCTATCAACAATATCTTAGATGTTTTATACACATTTCAAGCTTTTGTCTTTATCTTTTGCTGGGCTAAACTAGATGTAGTATCAAACAGACATGCTACTTTATTAATTCATTTTATGTATTTTTATCTATCTTTTAGTTTTATTAATTATAGGTTTGTGTATTTTTACTGTACTGTTCTTTGATCTAAATGCGTTAATAAAGGCTTTAGTTTGATTTGACATCATCAGATCTAGTAACCTCTTTCCTAAAACTAGGCAACAATAGTGGGATGCAACATTGGTAAAAAGGATTAAAGTTTTCCCCACCAACACTGTTTTCTGATCAAAATAATCAGTTCCAGTAATATTTTTTTAGGTGTTTGCTTAATTCCAAAATGACTCTGGGCAGTTCGCAATATAATAAACCATAAAATCACAATACAGAACAAAATAAGATGGGGTTTGGTCATGCCACAACCAGATCTTAAGGCCTTATAGAAGGCTAATACAGTGACAATCACACAGCATTCCAGAAGGCAGGTACTGCAACAAACGAAGTACACTTCCAGATGGCATTGTTTAATCAAGGGGCTTTGGAGTATGCCAAATCTGCCAGCTCCTGCTAGATGGGTAGAAAACATGGAAGATGGATGGTCCATCAAATAACCTGGCCCAATGTCATGTAGGGCTTTATAGAGGATGACCATTGCCTTGAATTTTTCCAGAAAAATACAGGCAGCTGGTGTAGCTTGTAAAACAGTGGTGTCTCGTGGGCATATTGAGGCACGCCCATCACTAGCTGCACCAATGCATTCTGGACAAGTTGAAACTTCTGAGTGGTTTTCGTGGGCAATCCAATATAGAGTGCTTTGCAATAGTTGAGTCTTCAGTAACCAGGGCATGAATCCATGAAGAACCACCCAAACCAAGAAGGGGCATTACTATGGGATTAATTCAATCCTTATTTTTTTCCTTAACTCTAGACCACATAAACACATATTGTCCCATCCAGAAGGATAAGAACACATGGAATAAGTGAGGAAGACTGATATTAAGCACCGAGCAGACATCTTAATACTTAACCTAAATCTATGATATGTCTAAGCGCAACTCCTTCAAGACTGACATCCACAAGCCTAAGTGCATCCATCCATCCCCAAAACAATCAATGTATCTATCTATTTAGAAATCACACCCAGTGATGATATGCCAGGTTTCCGAACACAGGGCTATCCTTTTATGGCGCTAGAGCCTGAAATCAGGCCCATAAACTATTAAATGGTTTAATTATATAACTTAATTTAATTTAATTAATAAATAATAAATATTCTGTAGAGATTAGGGAACTTAAAGTTTTAGGTATGTTGTAGTTGGGGCATGTCTTTATTTCTTGGAATCTCAACAAGTGACTGAGATGGTGTACTGTATTGTGATGTTGGCCTCTACTGGTGGAGTGTACCTTGGCAAAACGATGTAAAAAAGGGGATAGTAGGACAGGTTGGCTCATCACTTCCACATCCTCAATTCAGTTCTGCTTCAGGTTCTGGTATTTTTAAGGAAACCTGATTATTTAACTCCAAATCTAATTTTGAAACTATTCCTTCTCAGATGTTGTTGGACAAAAATGAATTGCTATTCATTGTTTAGGCTTCTAAACAATATTGTGAGACATGTAGTTGCCATTATTGATTAATTTTTATCCATACTGTTTTACATGTTAGGAAATGCTGAACAATGAAGTGTTAAAACAAATTCCTTTTTTGATTTTAACAAAGTTTTACATATGCAAGACAATGGAATGATGCTGCAATGGAAAGTAGTTCTGTGTGATCAGTTATCAATGGAACCACTGATTACTTTCATAGGTTGATCTCTTTATACATTGTAGGTATCCTGCATAAAATGCATTCTTTATTGTTCATCTCAGTTTCTTGTGTTTAAAACCTATCCTTTGGTAGTATAAAATTTGGCTTTTGATTTGCAAAATATAAGCTACCAATGTCTATATTTGACTGAAGATAAATTACAGTTTGGATGCAAAGTCTGCCATTGATTACATGAAATCAATAAAACTTTAGTTGTGAATAACATGTTCCATTGATACCAGTAACTTGATTCTATGTTTCATTAAGTATGGATGAGTATATAACATTGCAGCTTTCCAAAAAAACCAGATGATTTTCACTTGGTGGACTTTTTCCACTGGAATATCATCAGGTGGAACCCCCACATCTTTTTAAAGTCCTACTTTAGAAATAAAAAATGTACATTTATAAGAGCAGAGAAACAGTGTCTATCATTCTATAAATGGTGAATCTGTACATAGCCTTTATATACATCTGCATATAGTCTCAACTTAAGATAAAATACGAATACTTTATAATAAGAATTTCCCACTGGTATATTAAGCACTTGAATGGTTAAGCCTTTATTGCTTTGTTCCCTATTTTCCTCCTTCCTAATAAGCACATTCCTGTTGTGAGATGGAATGTATCTAATCCATAATAAGTCTGGTTGAGAGACTCTGGGTTTAAGCCAACTGAACTTTGTTTGAAGGGAAAGAATATTAAATCTATTTGATGGCATTTGTAAGAATCTGGTTTCCTCAACCCCTGGACCTTAAAATGGAGCTCATTAGTCATTGCACAGATGCAGTTCATCAGTTTTTTTTCTTTTTCAACTGCTGCATGTAAAATACCTGTCTCCTCTATATTTGTGCCAACATATTTTAAATGCAAGACATTTCTTAGAAATTATTTCCCGGTGCTCAGTTATCTTAGTTCTGGCAACTAAACAACTGTTTTTCAACTGAGAGGAAATATGACAAGTTGATAAGCAGAAGGAGAGGAAAATTAATACTTCATTGCAAATAGCTTACAACAATTTACAAAACAGGCTTGTGAATAGTAATGATTATAAATATGTTTATGAAAACATGGATCTACAGTCAAAATGCTCTATTTTAACTTTGCATGCATTCTTTGAAATGGCTAGTGCAACAACTCTATTGTAACCTAAATTCATACAAAAATCCAAAATGCCATTTAATGGCCAATAAATTTTCCAGTACATAATTGCTTTTGTCTGATACTTACTGATGCACTGGTGATAACTGGGAAAAGTGTGTGAATATCATCCTCAATCCCCAAACCATTCTCAAATAAGTGACAATGCAAGCTAGCCTATTAGCAACAAACAACAACAACAATAACAATAAAAGGCAGGTTTGCTTGGAATAAAAGGCAGCTTTATTTGGAACAGTTTACTTGGTACATTTGCCTACCCCAGATCCTTGGAAAGGACTTGATAGGTAGACCAAACGTGCCAGATCCAGTTTGAACATCTGGCTGACTGTGCAACTAATAATAACAATATAAAACTGGTAAAGCAAACATATATAAGCTTTAAAAGACATTTTTTATTTTTTTCATCATTATATTCTAAACTTTTATCACTACCCCCAAACTTGCTCCTTCCTCTAATTCAAACAGATATCAGAACAGATCTATAGGTTATGCATTTAAGCTTTTTGGTGTTCTGAATCTTCTAATTTATAACTAAAAGTCATGTTTATGTATTTATGCACATATATTCATGCACAGGCATGGATCTGAATATTACCCAAATGTGTTATCTCGTTTAAATTATCACACAATACACCGGACTGGACTCAGTTACAAAAAAATTGTTTCAGAGTGTGCCCTTTCTGGAATCAAATCTAAAGTGCTGCATGGGCCGATTACAGACTGTGCATTTTCAAGAAGCCAATGTTTACAAATGCAACTGTGCCACCTGGCTCAGCCAGAAAGCATAACATACATGCCCAATCAGTCTTCCCAGAGCTACATTTCTACA